GGTGTGTGTGTGTGTGTGTGTGTGTGTGTGTGTGTGTGTGTGTGTGTGTGTGTGTGTGTATTTTTCTTCCATATCAATTAAATATTAAAAATTCATTATCCGTCATTATCACTTTTTCACGTGGCCAATAAAATTATGCATATGACCTAATCTGTGCTGCAAGTCATCTTGCGTCATTATCACTTTCTAATGGCGCATATGTAAATATTTAATCAATTAAAATCATTTTAAATACAACTTTTTCGAGTTTTTAAATGAATTCTTTTTTCTTTTAAGAAAATATCTTGAAAACAATTTTTAAATCTCTTATTAATATTTAAGATGTATCTGTAAAGATGTCTCTTCAAGATATCATTGTCATCCGAGTAAATAATTAATCAACATCGTTTGTGAAAATATGTAATAGTATTCTAGATCTCTTCTTTGATTAATTTCCTTAATTTTTCTTCTTAATAGAAATATTATTTGTAATTAGATATAATTTATTAAAGAAAAAATATTGACTCTCAAAATTCGATTAAAATATGAAAAAAAATTTGATTAGTCTGAAATTGGCTTATCTTTATTTATAATTTGTCTCTTATCTATATCAATTATCAAAGATAAAAAATCATTTTATCGCGATTGACATTTTGTACATGTCGGTTATTTATGTTGCTTTTAATGCAGGTAGGTGATGGAAATGTTAAAGGTGCGCAGAGGTGTTCGCAATTATTACTGCCGATTTTCAGTTTGTAAAACTAGCTGAAACGTGGAGTGATTTGACCGAGGACTGCGAATGCGTCATCACGATGCTGATTACAATCGGCGGTTACGTTAAACTGTTCGTCCTAGTTCTTAATAACAAAGACGTAAGATTTCGCGAGTTGCGATCTTCCGCTTCCCTTATTAGAAAAAAAAAAAATAAATAAATAAATAAAAGTCGTAAGGGTTGCGAATTGTATTCTACTGTTTTGTTTTCATCGCTTCTTAGATACAACGATTATTATCGCTTATCGACTATCACTGGCGCATTTTTACGCATTCCTTGGAGATACAGATTATGCACGAGTATGCTATCATAGGAAGGAAAATAACGATAAGTTATGCCGGTAATAAATCACCTTCGTATCATTTTAAGGCCGACACGGCATACTTGACATACGTATCGCGCTCACTTTTCACGCGTATCATCGTGAATTTGCACAACGCATCCGATCTATCTAAGTAACGCGATAGTAAATAATGCAGAATTATCGTTTACTCGCCCGATGTGAGACTTTACACCGTAATAATAATGCGACTTGCAGTTCTCATTTATTCGTTGACGAGCCTTTATATGTTGATACCAATAACGCCGCAATTATTGGATCTCCTCAAGCCTCTCAATAAATCGCGCCCCCACAAATACCTCTTCGATATCGACTACAGCTTCGACAGGGAGGTGTACTACTATCCCGTATTGCTCCACTCATATTTGACGACTGTAATAACTATGAGCGTCATGATAATAACCGACACGATCTACATGGCGTTTGCGCAACACGCGTGCAGCCTGTTCGCCGCTATCGGGTATCGTATCCTCACTCGTACATCCGAGAACCTTAATTTATATTGCAAAGGAGAGCCTTTTTTCCTTTTACCTGGATCCCCTTGATCGCGTGCCGCGAGATGAGATTCTGATCGTGATTTTCAAAGGCACCGACTAGAAAATCTGACCTCGGGAATAAGTTCGGAAAAGAATGGTAGCTCCGCCGGGATGATTTGCAACAAACACGAGCCGACGGTCTACGTGTTGCACAATAAAGATGACGAAATCTATTGCGAACTGGTGCTTCTCTTGCGGAAACATCAGCTGAGCCTCAAGTGAGTTCTGAATTATTTGCCCGTACCACGTGCAACGCTCGCATTTGTCCGTTCGATGTATCTCGTTGCAGATTTGTCCGTATGTTGGATTCTTTCTTCGCACTGTACTCGTTCATGTTGCTCTTCATTACTATCATCATTATGAGTCTCCTCGGAATTCAAGTGAGCATTTCGCATTTAATTTAAATTCAAATCACTTCGCGTTTCCACTTCAATCAATCCGGAATTTAATCGTCTTTACAGATAATTTCGTTATTGGATCATAAAGAAGAGATGATCAGATATGTATCGATTAGCATAGGTGCATTCATGCATCTCTTCGTTTTGAGTTACCCCGGCCAAAGAATAATGGACCACAGCACAGATATATTCTACAAAGCGTAAATATAAACGGGCCAAATTTATTCAATGTAGGAAGGTAGAAGGAACGTGCGTAAAACCGCACGGTAAAAATAAATTTCTCGGGAAAGAATATTTAAAACTTTTTTTTAAATTTTATTATATTTATCTCGTCTTTATATTTCATATAAAGACGAGATAAATTTCTGTTCTGTTTTACTTCTTAATTTATATATAGTTTCTTTAAATGCTTTTTACTTCTTTTCTTTTTTTAAAGCTTTGAATATTTCGACAAGTATTTAAGAGGATTTGAGTGCACGTTGTTGAGATATACATTGGGTTATTATTTTTAGATACAACATGCTGTGGTACAGAATGTCACGGAGATCGACACAGTTATTGAGTATATTACTTTACAGGTGTTTCGTGCCTTGTACGTTAACGGCCGGCAAAATATATGTGCTGTCGATGCAAAATTATGCTACGGTAAGAGAAAGTTTTTTCCAATTTATATACGTAGTAAGTACAGCACTATGGAAATATATAATCGTCTTAAATTTTAAGATGGTACAGGCAGCCGTATCATATTTCACCACCCTTTCGTCGTTCAGATAATTTGCGGTAAAAAGAAGAGAATAGAAGTGTACTACGTTGAATTGTCGAACGATAAAATTAGTGATTCAAAATATTTTTCCCTCGTAAACATATAAAATTAATCCTATCGCGTAGCAACGATAAACGATATTAAGCGAAAATTACATATGAAAATAAAGATATATTTCGAAACGTGTTGTAAATTTATTTTTCTATTTGTGTATTAATAAAGGTTCAAGAATGGCTGTTACCGTCGGAATGTTATCATCTTTTTCTAAAAAAGTTGATTTTATTAAATAATTTAATCGTGAAGAATTCTTTGTATAATTTATAAGATGTTAATAATGTAATTATAAGAATGTTGCGTATAACCATTGATCATTTTCTGACATCGGGGCATCAAGATATTAATTGATATAAATATTGAATATTATTATTGAATATAATATATTTTAATGTCCAAATTTGTTTTAAGTGTAGTCTACAGATTTAATAGCAGACATAATGAGAAAAAAATTAATTTGAAATATGAGGATGTCAATAAAAGTTATATATGTTAATTAGCAATGATTAATGGACGATGATAGAAAGACAAAAATGGACATCGAGATATTTCACTTCAATCTTCTTACTTCGCAAGAAGTAACGCATAAGAAATATTTTCCAAATAAAATAATCCAAAAGACATAAAAAAGTTAATAAGATTCCGATAAGTTCATTATGTAAAGAGAAGAACTATAAGAACCTAACGGGCGGTAAGTAACCATAAACATAAATTACTCTCGATAAAAACAATTGACGTCATTAAGACAACTGCACATTAATAACATAAAATAATTATACTTGCGTGAAAAACAGTTAACGCTGTAAAAAGAACAAGTAAAGTAGATTATCTCAAGGTTCGTCGTTACTGACAAGCACACAAAGCCGACCTTTTGACACACCGGCAAAAGTCAAAAAGCGAATTAATTAATTATTCGATTAAATAAGTATAATTGCGTGAATATATAACGTATCGATCCAACATGGTTCTTCTCGATCACGTTGGATCAGCACACCCACAGAAAAGATTTCTGGATCTAATGCCATTACTCTTCGAACTAGCATAAAATAGAATCGATCAATCATATTTATTGTAAAGAACAGAATATTTTAGTCTTAATTGGAATATTCTTAAATCTAGAATAAAATGATCTTGATTGCAATAAATAATAGCATAATCTTATACTGACAGATACTGACGCTACTATCGGGCATTATATCGGGCGATGATTTATTCTATAAGAAGCAAGAATAAACAAGCTTAAACTTGTACGTATTATTCTTAATTCAAGACAAAATGTCAATCATATTTAATTCGAGGCAGAAGAATAAGAAATTATTAATCTAATCTTAAAATGATTTTAGCTTTATATTGCATGAGATAACGATAAGATTAAATGCATCAAGAATATTTTTCGTCTCATTACTAGAAATCCTTTTTGAGAGGGCACGAACGTTCCGTTCGATCGTTAGCGATTACAAACAGAGCTTCGGTCAACACGTTGCAACACGAGAATCTGATTTCGAATCGTTAGTTCATTTACCAGAGGAGATCTAATCACAGATGTAGGCAACTATGATGCAAAAGGGGAAAAAAACACGGCGGATTGTTGAGTTCATTCAATTCAGACGGCTGATGTAATCGAGCCTTTATGTAATTAGCGGGAATGCGCGAATCGCATCGAGTCCACATTCCTTCGGCGATCTTGAGTTCGCATAACGCTAGAGCCGCTAAAATTGATGTCTAATATCCAATTTCTAACCAATTGTGGATTCTAACTTTAATCTCGATTTACTTTGTTTTTCTTCTTCTTATTCGAAAAATTAGAAAAAGAAGAGAGATTGACTTTATATAGATTAATCTCGATTTAAATATATTCTTTATCTTTTTCTAATTTTTCGAAATGGAAAAAAAGAAAAGCAAATTAAATCAAGATTAAATCAAATTAAATCAAAATTAATCTACGTTGGTAGAAATGGGCATGAATCGGGAAGAAAGAAGCAAATAATTAAATTAGAAAATTTAGATTTTGATTATCCGAATCCAATGTTGAGAAATAAAGTTAACTTAAGCGTGTTTATCTCATATAGTCGAGTTTCGCAACCTTCAAATTGAATCTTTTAAATAATTTCGATCGGATTGCATCGAACCGGAGAGGAAGCATCGATATCGGGAATGTCGTGTGTTATTACAGTCAATGATAACTTCCGTTTTGGAATAGCAATTTGTGTGTTGTACGTTTTACATGTGCATGTGTGATGATCGTAAAAAAACAGGCATTCACGGACTTTATTCTTCATATATTTCCATATTCTCTCTATATATTTCAATGCACGCAAATTGTACGTTTCGTATCGAGAATAGATCCTTTTTGCCTTGAGGGACATTCTCCATTCTTTCTTCGAAAAGTGGAAGTATATCCTTGAGAGATATAAAACATATAAAAGACATTCACACGTATCGCTTTTATTAATATTTGGGCAGTGGTAAATTTTTCATCTTTGTCACTTTCAAATCATTCCTCTGTATTATTATTTTTTTTTTTAAATTCACATCTCTTACATCGAGACCAGAGGGATCTTTTTATCGTTTACGATATCGCAGATATCGAAATCTTTATGTGATTTTACCGGGAATTCAATGGGACAGAACGTATCCTCGAAGATATCTCACGGAGTGAGAGTTTTGCGAAGTTTCCGAAAACTCCTATCGCTTTAACGTCAGAATTTCCTATACATATATTACAAGTTACGATCGCTATATCTGGGTCGTCTATTCCGCTCCGGGAAAATGGATTCTTTTTCCCAAGAAAATCTTTTTTTCCTCCCGAAGGGAGAGACGACCTTCTCTTCTTCCTTTTTATGGTACGATTCGCTCAGGGTTCAGACACGGGCCGAACGCAGATCCGAGGTCGTCTCACCGTTACCGCGAAATGCCTCTCCACGATGGTGGTGGTGATGGTGGTGATGATGATGATGGTGGTGGTGGTGGTGGTGGCGGCAGTGGCGGCAATGGCAGTGGTGGCAGCGGCGACGGTGACGGCGGCGGCGGCGGCGGCGGTAACGACGGGCCGTCGTGGTGGGGACGCACGTGTCGTCCCTTTTGTCATTGTGATATAACACAATCCGAGTCAATTCGAGCCTTCGCCTCGTGTACTTCACCGATATAGTGCGCGCGTGCGTGACCAACGGCGGTGTGCCCTCGACACCACGGGCCGGGAGTAACATGGCGACTGGCCGGCGTGGTTTAGTCGATTTGCGACCATCGGCGCGTGTAGATCAATGAGAGAGGACCGACGACAGTTGAGTGACAGTTCTTCTCACATAAGCTCCGTAAGTGTCCACACACGTATATACGTACACGTATATACGTATACACACGTATGCGTATGTACGCATTTAAATTTACCGTTATCATACACGCTTAGCTTTCCTTTACGATCGCCTGCCAAAAAAGAGGGTCGTACGATCGGCGAATTTTCAATTTCCCATCCACGTGTCGTCTCTCACGGCCGAATTCGCCGTGTGCTTTTTCTTTTTTTTTTTCTTTTTTTTCTTTTTATCTCCGTCTCGGGACCGGAAATTGCATGCGCCTCCGTAAGCCGGTTTTGTATTCGAAAGGATCGAACGCGGCGAGACGGGAACACGGCGCAGGTCGAGCTACGTCGAGGGTTCGCTTTGTTCCACTCCCCCCCCCTCCCTTTTCCTGCGTATCTTCCGTGAATGACGAAAATGCAACAGGAGAGAGTTTTAGTATTTCGCGCTACCGGCGATATGGATTCTCGGAATTCGCGATAGGTTTTGAAATATGGGAGTGATATTAATCTGTTTTTCAAACTGTGATTTAGTCTGAAAAAGAGAGAGGGAGAGAGAGGAAGGGAGGAAGCAATTGTCCAAATTCGTGGAACCGTGATGCAAGATTTCGAAATCATATAAGGTCAGCGGTGACACATTTCAGATATTTCACAATTTCATATTTTTAATATTACATTCGTTGTAATAAAATTATATGTTCGATCATAACAATAACGTATTATCGTATTATATAATCGATAGACATTTATAAATTAATGAATACATATAATATAACGAATCACACAAAATCATATAAAATCAATCATATTTCATGAACGAATTTCAGTTCATGGAATTTGAAAGAATTTCGATCATAAAATATTCATTTCCCTCCCGTGTGTGTGCATGGAATGACAAATTGTATCAAGATAGAAGATTTAATCTTTAAAGTGAAACGTATCAAAGTGATTTCATTGGAGATTCTGAGCGTTCTAAATTTTTTTAGAAATGTGATGTAATAATTATAAATTTAGATAACATTACGATTTAATTTACTTATCAATTTACTCATTTAATTTAATTTAATTTAATTTACAATTGGATATATAAATAAACGTGTCTTTATTTGAAGATGAAATATCAAAAATTTCTGATAGATAAAATCGTGAAACGAAACGCAGAAATGATTTTGTAGATACTTTGGAAAATTAAGTCCCGACTTTTGTTTGCTTTCGTGAACATACAGAATCCTGGCATACGTCAATAATCTCGCTCGTCTTCCCGTTCACGTCAACAGACGTGATATTCCCGTCGTGTGCAACGTCCATAAATTTGCGCATGACTATAAAATGTAATCTTAACTAAGCCGTGAGAGAAAGGAGGTGAATGGGTCCTAGAGAATGAGTTATACAAGAGCAGAAAGAATCGCGCGTGTCCATCCTTCTTCGATGTGCTGACTAAGAGAATACGTGCAGACATAAGCACGAGTCGTTGAACCTTGCAGCCGCCACGTGTGCTCTGTGGACTCGTGTGCAGAAAAAAACGGGAATTCAGTATCTACAGTAAATTTGCAGAACGTGAGAAAAGGAAAAGAAAAGAGAGATATCAATTAATCGTCCGCTGCCATTCTTTCCTTTGCGTTTTATCTTCAAAAAAGAAAGTTTTAATTAAAGTTTAAGGTTTAGTACAAATAAAGAAACGCGCAAAAAGAAAAAAAATTTCTTGAAAAAACAGAATTTGTCTGATAAATTTGAATATCATAGAGAAAATTGTTATCTATCAAACTACTATATTAACTATATTAACTAGTCAATGAAGGAGCAAATAAATTTTACTACGATAATCAATTGTTTAATATTAATAAGATTTGTTCGGCAAAATAGTGAAAATTTGCTGAATAATTTTTTTTTATAAAAACATGTTAAAGTATAACAAGTATTGCATTTTACTAATAGAATGTGACAATAAACAAAATTAAAAAAGAAAAAAAAATAAAAAAAGTTTGGTTGTGAAAACTAATTTGGTTAGTTTTTAAAAACTAGAGCGAAATAATTTGCAGATCCAATGAAGTTATTTTAGCAAACAAAGTTTGACTTTTTTTACAAAAATCTTTTTGGTTCATGTAATTAACTGGAGATTTGTTACAATAATTGCTACATCTTGAAGTATTTTTGAATATTTGCTTTATTTTTTTGTAAATTTTTGTTTTCCGTGATTATTAAACTAAATAGCCATTTTATTTACATGATCTTAATTGATTCGAAGGCAAATAAACTCGATAAATTATGAGAGCTTATTTCTCTCGAAATATATTTGAAATATATACAAAAAAATATATTTCAAATTAGAATTCAATAACTGAAAATAAAATACGAAAAATGTAGTTTTATAGGATAATTTATAATTATTTTTTACATACGGAAAAACATATTTTTTTTAATTACGAATGAATTCATGAAAATTAATTTTAATAGATCTGTTTGAAAATCGTATTAAATCGTGAAAAGATGTATAATCAATTCTCTAATATTCAAAATCAATTGCGATCGAAAATTGTTACATCGATTATATGAAAAATTGAAAACATCTTGCGCTATTTATAATTTTGCAATAATTATGCTTTGAACAGTTTGTAAATTATCAATATCAATATTAATAATCAAATCTGATTCAACTCAAATAGATTCGAGATTCCATATTCTTTTTGCACAATCAATAATAATATTGAAGCAAAAGGAACGCATTTATTATATATAAAATTTTAGGTTTAATTTTTAATCAGAAAATACTCGCTATTCAACAACATTTTTCCGTTTTCATTTATATTTTGCAATCCACTGATCATTTTCCGTAATTTTCTTTTGAATGGGATATAAAAGGACACGAAAGAGCGCGTTTTATTTCAATTCCGATTTGCTCACGAATGAACTCCAATTAGCCAATTATAATAAATGAATAGAATAATAAATGATTGTACACATAAAACATTTTTCAGATAAATTGAACGTGAAATTTTAGAAATAAATACTTCAGTATTCAGTAAGAACTTTAATATGTACATAAATAGTCGATATTCACGATATTTATATGTGTATATCAAAATAAACAACCTATGTATAATTCTGGATTTTTCTCCCTATACTTCAATTTTTCGATATTTTATATCGATAAACCAATACCGCGCATATAATAAGTTTATAGTATACTTTTGAAATGTTCATGTAGCTTACTGAGATAAGATTTCTGTAATTTATTAGTTTATATTAGTTTATATTTATTAGTTTATCTATGATATAATACCAGAAAAATGTATTAAGCGTACCTTGGGTTCTATTTTTTTTAACAATATAAATCTAAGTGCTTTATATTCTTAAAAAATATTGAATACATTGAAGAGTTTTTGAAAAGTCACGATTCGGACAATAAAAATTATTTAAATTTCAAAATTCACGAGCTTTAATTGTAATGATAAATTATTTAATCAATTTGGAATCGATTTTTTTTTATAAAAATATAGAATAATTTTATTATGTTACAATTTTTTAATTTGGACATTACATATCTTTATAACTTTATATATAAGTTTTTGTTTAAATAAGCTTTTGTTAAAACATGAAGTCTAAAAAATACTAAATAAGGATTTTTTGGTGTGTGTGTGTGTGTGTGTGTGT